AAAATGGGTTGCTCCCAACCAGATCTACAGAAGGATGACGTTGTGATGATGATGGATGATAGCCTGCCGCAATCCAGATGGCCACTTGCACGCATCATCGAAACTTTTCCCGGAGAAGATGGTCATGTCAGGAAAGTCCGCCTAGCAGTTGGACAGTCTATTTATGATCGACCAATACATAAACTTGTATTGTTAGTTAGCCAAAGTATCCCCGTCAAGGAGCCTGATGTTGAAGTATAAGACAATCCTCGACAGTATAGTAGTAGTATTTGTAGATATAGTCTTTGTTTTTCGTGAGGTAAATTGCTTCAATTTAGAGGAGCCGTGTAACGACTGTCGGCGTTGTATTAATAGCGATAACGCTATTCTATGTGGTTTAGTGATTTTACTTGTATAGCGCCCTCTGTAGTTAACGAACAAACAGACCGGGACATGCCATCTTGAAGAGAAAGTTAGTCGGATTTGATTGACGAAGATAAAACAACAAAGTTTTAGTTGTGTTTAGCACCGATCCCCGGAATAGAGTTTTACGTGAATTTGTAATTCTCTCCATGAGTTCAATGAACCTTGACACTGGATTGACCTTTGTGAACCAGTGACCAGTGAATAAACGACATTGATGTGAAATACTGGAGTGATTTATTTCTGACGCTTGCGGACTGCGGCCCCTCAAGTGAACTGTTCCATTATTGATGAAATTAATTTGAAGTGACACGATTTATCAATAATCATTCGCCACAGTGTTTTTGTACATTCCATGATTATCCACCAATAATATACGCCGAGTTCTGATCTGCAAGCTAGATTCGGTGAAAATGCTGTTACCCTTAATAATTGTTTACAGAATTTGATATGCAATTGTTCAACTGGTGTTTTATTCAAATTCACGATGTCAATAATATCATAATGGTGATTGGTGTTAGGAGTATTATAAGGGGTCTAATCGTATAGTGAAAGGCGACAATATAATGCACCTCAGGGTTACAACCGTTATTTATAATATGTGAAGCATGTCTAAACATATAAAGTATAATCTACATTTTTGAAGAATCACTTAAGGGTTTACAACGCAGTATTATGTCATTGGATTGCCATTATATAGTATATCATCTATGTGCTGTTAGCTATGATTGAGAAAATACGGACTTAAAGTTGTATATTTCTTGCCACTCTTCATCTCGGACAGAGCTGCGAGTTGACGTCATTGCTTGCAGAAAATCATCCTATAAAGGAAATGTACCTCAATTAGTGTCATTATTCATTTGTTGGTTTCAATTAGTTTCACTATTTATTTGTTGGTTTCAATCAGTGTCACTATTCATTTGTTGGTCTCAATTAGTATCACAATTCTTTCGTTGGTTTCAATTACGGTAGTGTCACTATTCATTTGTTGGTCTCAATTAGTGTCACTATTCATTTGTTGGTTTCAATAAGTGTCACTATCATTTGTGGGTTTCAATTAGTGTCACTATTCATTTGTTGGTTTCAATTAGTGTCACTATTCATTCGTTGGTTTCAATTAGTGTCACTATTCATTTGTTGGTTTTAATGTGCATGTCTTCAGCAAAGGCATGGGTTCATCGCGTTTACTGGGTAAAAAGACGTGATAAATAACTCACATATGATTTGAAAAATACATAAACAAAATATATTGCTGAACAATATAACTTACAATAACATTGATTGGTTAATAACTAACATAAGTACATATTCACATACCATTGTGATTACTGGTAGAATTAGTCTGTCAGCTGGGACATCTGTCCATGGCATGGCGATAGCGCCCTCATCGTTGGCATCACATGGTTTGTAAAAAATGTCTTTCAATTCTCCGGGATTGTCGCGAGCCTTACTGACCTGAAACGTGAGAAAATAACACAAGTTAAATATCGCTGACGTCATTGGTCTGCGACAGACAAGTATGTCGTTCGTTGTGATATATTACATATGTTCATAACACAAAGCAATAAATCTTCTGTAATACAAAAGATTACAGCATTACAAAATGAAAACTATTTACACATACAAGGAAAAACTACATTTTATAACCTTCGTCCACAAACACTTAAAATAAAACAAACTGGATACTGGAGAAATAAAATTGTCTGTGGTGGCGTTCTACTAAACATAAGCAATTATCAACTGGGTGGTTAGTCTGACAAATTGTTACATAGTCTCACCTTTTTGAAATGATGTGACTTTGTAATTCTTCTGAGTGGCTGACTGCATGCCGAACGGATGAGAATCTGCATATCGGCACCTGTAAAGCTACATTCAATAACAAATAGCTCATCTTTATTCGCGTTGAAGATAATGATTCACTCATGGTATCAGAGGATTGTCTGTCTGCATTGTATTTATGGTACCTATTTCAATGCATTCATGGCATGGTGTTTAATACTTGGTGCGTGGGCATCCGATAATAAACATAATATAGAATTTATGTATATGACGTATTTCTGTAATAACTGTGGCACGTGCCGACCTCCACTCAATATACAGATATATAAATATCCCAGCTAGTTGACGAATCCCTGTGCTCGATTTCAAATCAAACGCATGACTGATTAGTTACCTTGATGATGCTCACCACCGACCATCCATACAAATTGTACCTTATTCGCATGAGGCTGATGTCGGCCACACGTCATGGCTATATTTGAAGGTTCATCTGCTTACCTGTTTGTATGTTGTGCAATTTTCCATAGGTCACCTTCCTTCAAGACATGTATTTCATCTTTCAAACTACGCTGAATCATTCGATATCTAGATTCTTCTTCCATTTTCCCCATGTAGACATGGTGATGGAAACTGTAAAATACAAAAACCAATTCACGCAATTAAACGACATCTCGAGAATATAGATGAGAACAACATGTTATTTTTTCTATGCGGTGTTTTAAACTAATTCTGTGGACCACAAGTAATGTTAGCGCATCGGTGAGGATTCTTTATGCGCCAAAAATCGCAGTGCTATTTTTTGGACGTCGTTTTAATGCAACTTGGAAAGTATTACTTATTTAATACTGTGTATATGTTTCGCAAACTTAAAATAGAACGTTTGTAATCCTTGTTTTCTGGTGCCTAACGGTGGGCTGCTTTGTATAGTCGAAATTTCTGCTATAAGCAAAGTCTGTACCACCAGACTATAAGTTTGTGCTACTAATGTGTTGCTAAATGTACATGTCTTTTTTTTTTTAATTAACTAGGATCTTATATTAATTGGATTGGTAATATCCAATAAAATACCTTTGAATGAGTGATTCATCTGCTACCCATGGATTTTGTGTGGAGCCAACTATAACAACCCCTTCTTTGTTGACGTCATTAGCTGAAAATAAAAAAAGAATAATGTTAAAAGTACAATGTATTAATGTATTTGAGTTTTACCAATTAGTTGTGCACTTCCCGTTACGTCGACAGACGTTGGGCATGCATTTTGCGAGAACTGGTGAGACAATGTAGCAGACTTACTGTTCATCCAGCATGTTATATATCGTTGGAGATTTTCTCCTTCTAATCCACGACAAAATGCACATGGAAACATACCATCGGTGGAGAACAGATCGTCTATCCAAATTACAGCTGGTCTAATTTCACTGGATTGTTGAAGAAATGATTTTAAAAGTCTGCGTGCAAAACATAAAATATGGAATAGAATAGAATATTTAATTTGACACGAAACAATACAACAAATAATAAATAAACAAGAAAACATTTAACAATTAATAAGCATACAGTTTTCTAAACATTATCTGTCTTGGCAAACTCTCAAATATTGTGTTATACATCAAGATTATCCCCAAAAATTGACACCTAGCAGTTTCCATCTCTTGGTTCTTGCAATCTAAGAAAGCATGCATCTCATTGCCAACAGCTAGATCATCACATAGCATGCATAACCTTTCCTTTGGTGGTACTTGTAAATACCTTAATTTCTGTATTGGTAGTTTATGTGCAGAAATTCTGAATTTAGTGATGGCAACTCTGTGTTTGACATTATGTACATATTCCAAATATAGTTAGAAAGAGTATTGAAATTTTTATATTTACGTAGTTATTATTTGTTGTTTTATGTAAAGTGCGTGACCATAAATCTTTTATAAATTTATTTGCTTTAATTTGTTCTCAAAACTGTCAACGTCATGGTGACATTCAATGGTTTCTGAATCAGTAATTTCCTGAAGTTTACGTACAAAATTTGTCCATGTGTTGCCTCAGGCTGTAGTTTTGTTTTCGTTGTTGTAACCAGAATGCATTAGCACATTACATTCATCCGTCTGCAAATATCGATGATAATTGGGTAGCTTCCAAGTTCAGCTCTTGTCGTAATGCTATTTGATTTTGTGTGAAATTCTAGGATGGTTTTACAAATTTAATGTGTAGTTGTAATTTTTGAATTAATTTTTCAATGCAATTTAAGTGTGAAAGTTACCCAGATTCCAGACCCATACATTAAGATTGGTAGAACACGTCTCTTAAACAAAATTAGTTATGTAAATTGAGTGTTTGTTTAAGAACACCTATTGCCTGCTGTGCCTTCATCACTAACGTTTCTATTGCTACTTTGAAAAACGATTGTAAAATATATAATTTGTAAAATATAATGACCTGTGTCGGTTTAGTATTTACTTGTAACTTCTAATTGTTACAGTAATTATTAAGATTATCTAGACTATTTCGAAGTCCATTACTCGAATTTAACACTATCACGATATAGTCAGCAAATAATTTACAGTTGAATAAATTATTCTCTAAGCTAACCGAAAAAAAGAAATAATAATGTCAGAAAGATCGTTGATAAGTATGTTGAATAGATGGGGAATTAAATTGCACCCTTGTTGTACTCAAGATGAGAAAAATGAATTGGTATAACCATGAGCAGCTTTGATTGCATAGTTGGTTACAAAATACATAGACCTTATCAAGTTGGACACTTTTCCTGTAGTTCCAGCCTTCAGTAATTTGTTTTCTTTTTCGTTTTTTTTGTTAATATAATATCATTCATATTTTTCGCGATTACCAAAACTTAAAAAAAAATACCAGCAAATAAATTGAAAAATAAAATAAAATATATGAAAATATATATTAACAAAAAAAACAAAAAAGAAAAGAAGCCCAAACTAGAATCTAGTTACAGCATGTACAAATTTGTGCCATTGAGGATTTTGAGTCGTATGCGTTGCGCCCTCTATCGGCCGCTACGAGGGAGCATGCATATCGTCGCTGGCTGTATATGCAGTACCGGCCAAATTTTGTATGCTTCATTGGCAAAAATAGAAATTTACGCAGACTTTCCAGCATTACGTAATACTTGAAAAATTAATACTCACTGTTTGCTGAAACCTTTGCTAATAAAATCTGACGAGTGCTTGGAATGAAAAGACACGACATCACCGAGTTCGTGTTCAATGGCTTGACGTAATAAGGTCTTCCCGGTACCGGGAGGCTAGCAAATATAAAATATAACAAAACGTAATAATAATCAGAATGATTTAAAAATAATAAAATAAATACAATCAGAATATGATAGCTTACCCCACAGATCAGAACACTTGTAAACGGCAGATTGCAACCTAAAACAGAGAACACAATATAACAACTTGAAATAAGCGACATGAACTGTGACGAATACAGGCTTGGTGTGCGTTATATATGGATGTGACTGTAGTCGATGGACTCGTATCAAAATGTAATTTTCAATAGAAACACACACCTTAGGAACTGTTTTCTATCTAGGGTATTTGTGTTTATATGGTCACATACCGTGTATAGTATCCCACCATCCAGTAAATGCGACAATGACGTCATTGTAAAAGCGTGTCTTAACAGATGATGAGGAGGGGGACGGTAAATCAATTAGCAACTTAGTGCGAAATTAAAAATAAATTCTATTATGAAGTGTCATTCACATCTTCGGGATACTACTTACTAGCTTGGTTTACACTTGGGTTTGCAACATATCACAGATTAAGGGACAGGTCGTTTACTGTACCACTGTATGACTGTGACGTCATGTTCTCCACTCGATTGTTATGTCCTTATATCACAAATACGGTGATTCTTCGTGATAATGCAAACGAGTTTCGCATTGCCATGGTGATGGAAATGCTTACTTACCTCGTGTTCGTAACGGTGTTATAATTGTACTCATCAATGTGTTTTTTACATCTTTTTGGCCAATAACATCGGACCACCCAACGTAGTCGTCTCCTGACATATTAAACTCAGTGCAATACTGAAACAAGTCTGACAGTCTATAAGCTTGTTATTGTAAGTCATACCACAGGCGTTGATGCATCACATATCCTCTGACGAAAATCACGTGAATGTACTGTCATCGTTACTTATGACCAGTGACGTCATGGTCATTCAGTTATCATACTTTTAATAGCAACGCGCGGTCAATATACTGATCACGCGGTCATCACAATGACCACATGGCCAATAGAAAATACATTTTTGGTTTGAGTCAATTTTCAAATTAACAACTAGAAATCGGTAAACGTAACAGTTACCGGGAACAGCTATATGTCCGATAGTATGTGCGTGCAAGGTGCGTGGACCTGACTCACCGAGAGAATACTGCATTCTGGGTGCCCGCATGTCACGTGATCTTTCGTCATTGTGGGAAGTTCGTCGCCATTTTGTATGGTCTTGAAAAGCTCTGCGAACGGATTAGGTGACATTTGGGAGGTACTTCTCCCTAAATTGTGACTTTAAGGATGTCGTCTCAGAAGATGCAAGTAAGCTGAATATTCGCCGTTATTCTAATTAATATATAAACTCATCTGTGCATTTTCTTTGACTTTGACAATTAACTCGCCGAAGAGAGGGGATCATAAATAAACATTGCCAATGATTGCTGAGTAAAACCGGAAGAAGTGTCCCACAAAATTTCCCCTCTCAATTTATTCGACTTTTCGATGCGATGCGGATTACTGATACCCATGTTTGCTAGATCGTTGTCAGATAAGCTGGCAAGGTTTAATGTTTTTTTCAAAACGTGTATGTGTAAATATCAGACCTGTTTTGAACGTAGTTGTATTTTCTTACTGGCATGATTTGCCCAGATTGGAGACGTTACTCCCTAAACCTTATATTAATAAGCCGGTACCCATGATATGTCCCGTTTCGATCTGTGTGGTTGTATTGTAATAGAAGTATAGTAACTCCATGCTTGAAATCTGTAACGTTACTAATAATCACAGTGACAATATTGCCTTATTTATGAATGACAATCTACATGTTTATGTTCTCTATGTGGGGTGGGTGTATGTGGGATCGGTATTACTAATGTATCTTGTATTGGGTTACAGATTTTCCAGTAAATAAATCAATTGTCTTGTAAATTTACATCAATTTAATTTAGCAGTTTACACTTAATAGTGAAATTGAAACCCAGTCAATAATTAATCAAGAGTATATCATTGAAGTTGGGATACCTGCTACCTGTTGTCTCAAAAAGTGTGGCTCAATCCGCGTGTATAAAAGATTGTAGACCAGATTTCAGTATTGCAAATTGTAAGGTGATGCATCGGGCCAAAACTCTCCATTAAATTTTGACAGTCATAATGCATAGTGTTTTATTTTTCTGTTGTAAATGTACATGATCATGAATATTTGTAGAATATTATTTTGATGTTAGTTTACTAGATTTAATTCCCACCATGGAAACATTTGAAATGACTGTCAATCACTGGCTTATTCAAACTGATCATGACAATACGTCCTTTAATGTCTAACGTAAACTTGACTATATTATCAGTAACAGTTTGCACTTTGATTTGAATAAAGTTATGATAGACCGTCAGTTTGAAGGTTCGTTTTGACTATTCAAAATGCCATCAAATTTTATGCAAGAATTATGAGAAATAAATATTCTTGAATTGTGATCATTACAAGTAAGCATTTTGCATAGCACTTCAACTAGATTATGATCATGGAGTTTGATTTTTTAAATTGAAATCTGGTTGCTGTCTTTTCTTCGCAGAGCTGTGGTTTAACAGCTTATTACATACAAGCTCCAGTCTTTGAGGAGCCAAAGTTGCAGTTGACTGGTGCATTCTACTCTAGAACTAGATTATCATACTCACCATATTGATATTTCTTACAGAAAGCCATTGAGCTTGTGACAAAAGCAACAGAGGAAGACAAAAATAAAAATTATGATGAAGCCCTGAGATTATACGAACATGGAGTGGAATATTTTCTGCATTGTATAAAATGTAAGAGTTCACTACAATGCTTGTGATTGGTTAATGCAAATGATTATATACACTATGCATGCTTGAAATGCTGTCACAAAAAAGGAAGCATGCTCTGCAGATTCATTTCTATTTTTTATTATATTGTTGATGTGTGTTATTTGTTTTTATGCCTATGTCAGTAGTGAATGTAGAAAAATTGAGATTTTTTTTCAATCATAATAAATTATATCACTACCTGTATGAACATCAACAATTACAAATACTTGCTACATGTATTTCATGCTTTCCTTTCTCAATTACAAACTTTACCTACCCTTTAAAATATCTAGTGAGAATCAATGCATTTCTATTAGAGATGCACTTGTAATAGATGAAATATAGTACATGGATTGAAAATCATAGATTATTATTCGTTCTTCCAGATGAAGCAGCTGGTGAGAAAGCCAAGGAAAGCATCAGAGCTAAATGTGTACAGTATCTAGAAAGAGCTGAACAGTTGAAAGCATATTTGAAGAAGAAAGAAGGCAAAGACAACAAAAAGAAACCAATGAAAAGTTCTGAAGGCAATAAAGGGTAAGAGTAAATAATAAAAATATGATCTGTGACTGCAATCTAAATATTTTTTACTATTGTCAAACATACAAGTCATATGTGTCATTGTACATGTGTCCCATTCATTTGATCCAACCATGTGATTTTAGTGTGACTGCATTTCATCTGCATATAGGAATCGGAGCTTAAAATAGCATTGTTGTGATCAATAATTTGCTCAAGAAATAGTTGTTCTTCATCTAATCATAACTACTTCTATGCAGTCTATGATTAAACTATTCGTTTAATATTGTTAGAACAGTTATATCAAAGTTACTTTAACCTTGCATTCATATATTTTCTATACTGCCTCATGTAGATATTATAAATTGTTATTTGTTATATATTAGCATCTTTGCAATTACATTAAATTTAAAAGTTTGCTCTGTCATTTGCTCATTAATTAATGATTCTCTGCATACCATACTACATGACATTGAAAATACCATTCTAATGTCTTCTAAGGGACGACGTCAAAAGATCGATGTCGGATAAAAAACTTATTTCCTTTAGTTTGGGGGTGGGGGGTTTTGACCTCAAAAAGTTTCCATCCTACAAAAACGATTTTATTTTTTAATGAAGTCAAAAAAATCTTGGAGTATTTGTAGTTCTATCCAATCATGGACAGAAATAACCGAAAAGGGGGAAAAAAACCCAGAAAAATGGTTTGGTTCGAGTGTAAATCTGTGCGTCAAATGAGGTGCATTTGTAAACTCTTTTTTACACCCACCCGACAACCAACTGCTATGCAATACTACTGTCCGATTATCATCAATTTGTATTTAATAGTGAATGTAGTCTGACGCCATGACCAATATTTATCAATTAAGTTTCGGTGGGGGGTAGGGGGGTTTGGAAAAAAACTAAAGGAATTAAGTTTTTTATCCGTCATCGATCTTTTGACGTCGTCCCTAACCCCCCGCCCTTGGAAAAAAATTTAAAAAGTTGAAAAAGAACTACAATGTATATCTCGTCATCAATTCAGACATTGCACCTTCATTACAGCTCACAGTCTTAGCCTAGGTGGAATGTCTGTTTTGCTGAAACAGTTTACAAGTTATGTACTATCAATGTGAGATTATTACGAGGATATTCTCGTAATAACCTTATTATTAAACATCTTTTCCTTCCAAGGATTTATCATGGGAATGCCGAATATCCAAAAAGTATAGAACAGAATCAGTGAATTTTTTTGTTCTTATTATTAGAGGATGCTTATTTGGAATTCCATATTTGGAATTCGCATTTCCTAATATAGTAGGATGAAAATACCTAAAAAAATACCGCAAAATGACGGCACGCTGTAACTTTAGGCGTTACAGTGACAGATGTACAGTTAATAGTGTTTACACTGCACATGCATATGTCGTAGCAGTTTTCGATCTGATAGTTAAAGAACGGCTATAGAGACACTGATGGTCGTGAACAGAAAGTTGTTTCATCACAAATCACCTGCTTAGCTCTTTCAGTAGTGTGACCATGCATCCACAAGCTTGGTAAACTGGAAATTGTTTGAATAAAAGAAATGTCCTTTTTAAATAATTAGGGAATAGTTGTTCATTTGGCTAATGTAAGAAAATTCTCCTAAATCCAAGTAACCGGTGACTGATACTCTAATCTAAACAAACAGTATATTTTATATGTATGTTTTGCATGATTGCTCAATATGATTGACGCTTTAAATATTCATATTTAATTTCTGAGTCAGGAGTATCCTTTCTCTGTAATTATCTGGTCATCTTACAATGTTTATATCTTGCTAAATGTGGGGTATTTATTGTTTGCAGGAAAGATGACAGCTCTGATAGTGACTCTGAGAATCCAGAAACCAAGAAACTTCAGGAACAGTTACAGAGTGCTATTATAATGGAGAGACCTAATGTGAAATGGGAGGATGTAGCTGGCTTAGAATCGGCCAAAGAAGCTCTCAAAGAAGCTGTTATTTTACCCATCAAGTTTCCCCACCTTTTCTCTGGTAATAGGAAACCATGGCGAGGTATTCTCTTATTTGGGGTAAGTCTTTTTGAAATGTGGTTTGGTGTAGGAAACTTCATAGTCTAGTAGTTAAGACCTTTGCTTTGCAAGTCCCATGCTAGAAACTTAATTTTCTTTTACTTCTTTATTTTGAATTCTATAATTTTCATGTGTTTTTTTCTTCAAATTATTGTTTTCCCCCATTTTTCAGCATTTTCGTATGTCGCTTTTTTTGTTTTTGTAAATATTATCATTCGAGAGGATGCCATTTAACTTTTTGTTCATAATTTCAGTATTTAACATTTTAATATCTACTAGAATTGTTCGCTTGTTTTACCATATTAGGGACATTACTGGTATTAATTAGGGTTGAACTATTCAGTGAAATAGATTTCTAGCAATTTAACTAATCTAATCAGGTTGATTGGGAAATTTTGTTGTTCTTCATCATAATTAAATTAACAAAAGTGTCAGATTATTCAACTTAAATTAACAGCATGGATAATTTCAACACTTTTGTTTCTGTGTTGCTGTATAGAATACACACTCCTTTAAATTGTTTCTTTAAGTCATTATGTGTAATGTTTTTTTCTACATTCTACTTAGGGGATTACTATCTAACTAATATATTAATATGCTTAATCTGTATGCATTGATGACTACCCCACTCTATGCTATGATTTTCCTAGCCTATGCAGTTATCTGTCTTACCCTATGTAGTCCATCTTTCCACTCTATGCTATGATTTTCCTAGCCTATGCAGTTATCTGTCTTACCCTATGTAGTCCATCTTTCCACC